GGCATGTCCACTGCATTAGCTAAGGAATTGATGTTTCGCCGAACATCTGCAAAGGCCACTGACGCAACAAGCAGAGGGTGGAAACTTTGCGCCAGTGAGTCTTGCAAACAGCACACTGCCTTTGAACCTTGGTAATATGGCGGAGGCAGCCTCTGAAGAACCAGATGCAGGCAGTGGTGCATGAGGACTCACATGGTTTACAAACCATGCACCCTTCTTTTATTGTGATGCTTCCGCATTCCATGTGCGCAAGGTCATGACGGAAAAGTATGAGGATAAAGACTCAGCAGAAGAGTGATTAGGATTGATTATGGATATTGTGAATTGTTCATGCCGGTGAAGAACATAAGATCGCAGTTTCACCGCAAAGGGCTGTATCAATAAAAGTTTGTTACGCCATGAGAGGTTTGGTCCCTTTTAAGCAGAAGGGACTTCCACCTGGGTTGGCGCATGTCAGCCTGGGATCGTTTGGAGAACAGTGCGCGCAAGGCATTGACAGATGCAGTCGTGTGCAAAAAAAGCCAGGCAGCTTCACACACAAGAAAGCACAAGAATACTGCTTCGACGAATCAGTCATTTTCAATCCCACTTGGGATCCCAACGAACTTTTGTGGACTCATAGTGTTGGGACAGGTTGAAGCCACCAAGAAGAATGATCAGAGGTTCATGTCAGGAAATGACCTGTTGGATAAGTTGTGTCGAAGCAACGTGACCTTCTAAGGTTGCAGATCCACAGAGTGAAAAAGCTGCAGGCACAAGCAAATTGGGAGGAAATGGCCCATCAATGGGCCAAGATATGAATGAGCAAGCGGGTAGAAGTTTATGGATTGCAGAAGATATCATTCGTGAATCGCGTTCGATTCGTTTTTGTTCCTCACCCCTACACATGTCGACAGACAATGCCCGCAGAAGCACGAAGGTAGCTCTGCTGGCCTTGCCCTGGATCTGATTCAACTGGTGCCCTCAGCTGCAAAGGGTTGTGATTCGGTTATGATCTGATGGGTGATGTGTTTTTTCCACTGTAAAAAAGGATCTGATGATTTGCACATTGATGTGGATACTGAATGATACTGAGCGAGTTCATCCTATCTCATTCCGTTGGGTGTTGGGCTCAGACTCGTCGCATGAAACTTTGATCATCTGAGGCACTTGCCATATCCACAGTGTTGTTAGATCTGGCGCATGCCGAAAACAGTTCAAGTGCAGTCTTAGTAAGGGCATGTGGTACTACTGTACGCAGGTATGAGGCTACACAACACGCATACACGTCCGCAAGCAAGTGGCGACAGTTGATAAACATACGTAAAAACATATATAAAAGCATTGATTCGGAACATCTCATTTCTGGGAACACAGCCTTGCAGCCATGGCGGGAAGTGAACATGGAAGGCCTTTGCTGCAGATTGCTCCGATGATGGAGGTCACATACCGCGACTTTCGATACTTCATGCGTTTGTTGACCAAGCGCACACAGCTGTGGACCGAGATGGTGGTAGATGACACCATCCTCCACAACTTGGAGACCGAAAAGTGTGAACGCTTCTTGGGCTACAACGGCCAGGAGCACCCCATAGTTTGCCAACTTGGTGGCAGTGATCCAACCAAGCTAGCTGCAGCTGCGGAAGTTGTTCAGAGGTACGGCTATGACGAAGTCAACCTCAATGTTGGATGTCCTTCCTGCAGGGTTGCCTGCAAAGGAGAGTTTGGTTGCTCTTTGATGAAGCGGCCCGAGGTTGTGAGGGACGCCATTCATGCAATGAGTCGAGCTGTGCAAATTCCAGTGACCGTGAAGTGCCGTTTGGGCGTGGATGATTTGGACAACCAGGAGTACACCCGCAAATTTGTGACAACAGTGAAGCAAGGTGGCTGCAAGCATTTCATCATTCATGCACGCAAGGCATGGCTCAATGGCTTGTCACCAGCTCAAAATCGCACCGTACCTCCCCTCCACTATCCGCGTATCTTGGACCTTTGCAACCACTTCCCTGATTTGAACTTCAGCATCAATGGTGGCATCACAGATATCGGACATGCCAGGGCACTCCTGAACTTTCCACATCAGCGTTTGGAAGGTGAGACTGCCGAGCTTTATGCTGCTGCTTGGGACTGGCAGAGTACAGGATCCATGGAAGCCTGCCCCATTCCTTCCAACTTGCAGGGTGTGATGATTGGCCGTGGTGCCATGAACACACCGTGTATGCTTTGGGACGTGGACCACACAATTTATGGTGAAGAAAAACCTGAGCCAATGACCCGTCGCCAGCTGCTCGAGAAGTACCGCCTTTACTTGGAAGACTCGCATGCTGATGGGTCATCAGTGGGTTCCACCCACCTTGCCTTGAAGCCAACCCTCGGCATGTTTTCTGACCTGCGCGGGAACAAGGCATTCCGCGGCACAGCTGATGCAGCCATGCGCAAGAAGAATGAGGAGGGAGCACCCGCTCGAGTTCTCGAACTTGCCATGGAGGCAGTGGATGCAGCAAATCCCGGCATTTTAGAT